CCTTTACGTAAGGGGTGCGAAAATGGGATTTCGAACTGCGTCTCCCCCTACGTAAGGGGTGCGAAATTGGGATTTCGAACTGCGTCTCCCCCTTCGTAAGGGGGTGCGAAATCCTTCATCCCCAGGCCGAGAGTTTTTTCCTCTTGGACTAAAAATATGAGAGCATCCATGGATCCAATTGGATCCCTTTTCGGGTGTGGGAGAGTCTCGTGGATCCTATTTCTGTGCTGCGCGGATCCAACTTCCTGTGTGTGAAAAAAAACGATGGATCCATTTGTTTCCCGGGAACAACTACATCATTATAGTTAACATCCGAGACCCAGGGGAAATCGGATCCGCGGAGCACCGCACGTGAAACATCATGCTATCCACGGAGCGGTGGATATGCAGACCAATGCTCTGATTCTACGGGGGGGGGTCTTCCCAGGATGAAGAAGGGAAGGATGAGGGAAGAGGCAAGGGGAGGTGGGGGGAGAACAGAGGGGACGCAGGGGGGGAGAGAGGAGAAATACGCAGCGGGCCCGGCCAACTCCCGCATCTCCAACCATAACGTATCTACCCCACCTCGAGGCGAACGCTACATGTATCCGCTCACCTGAACGGCGCGTCGCTTCCGACATGTGGGGCTCAAGAGGAACATCTTTCGGCCTGCGGAAGTGGGATTTCGAACTGCGTCTCCCCCTACGTAAGGGGTACGACATTGGGATTTCGAACTGCGTCTCCCCCTACGTAAGGGGTGCGAAATCCTTCATCCCCAGGCCGAAAGTTTTTTCCTCTTGGACTAAAAATATGAGAACATCCATGGATCCAATTGGATCCCTTTTCGGGTGTGGGGGAGTCTCGTGGATCCTATTTCTGTGCTGCGCGGATCCACTTTCCGGTGTGTGTGTGTGTGTGAAATAACGATGGATCCATTTATTTCCCGGGAACAACTACATAACTATAATTAACATCCGGGACCCAGGGGGAACCGGATCCGCGGAGCACCGCACGTGAAGCATCATGCTATCCACGGAGCTGTGGATAGGCAGACCAATGCTATGATTCTACGGGGGGGTCTTCCCAGGATGAAGAAGGGAAGGATGAGGGAAGAGGCAAGGGGAGGTGGGGGGAGAACAGCGGGGACGCAGGGGAAACATAACATATATACCCCATCTCGAGGCGAACGCTACATGTATCCGCTCACCTGAACGGCGCGTCGCTTCCGACATGTGGGGCTCAAGAGGAAAATCTTTCGGCGCGCGGAAGTGGGATTTCGAAATGCGTTTCCCCCTACGTAAGGGGTGCGAAATTGGGATTTCGAGCTGCGTCTCCCCCTACGTAAGGGGTGCGAAATCCTTCATCCCCAGGCCGAAAGTTTTTTCCTCTTGGACTAAAAATATGAGAGCATCCATGGATCCAATTGGATCCCTTTTCGGGTGTGGGAGAGTCTCGTGGGTCCTATTTCTGTGCTGCGCGGATCCAATTTCCTGTGTGTGTAAAAACGATGGATGCATTTATTTCCCGGGAACAACTACATAATTATAATTAACATCCGGGACCCAGGGGAAATCGAATCCGCGGAGCACCGCACGTGAAGCATCATGCTATCCACGGAGCTGTGGATATGCAGACCATTGCTCTGATTCTACGGGGGGGGTCTTCCCAGGATGAAGAAGGGAAGGATGAGGGAAGAGGCGAGAAGAGGTGGGGGGATAACAGAGGGGACGCAGGGGGGGAGAGAGGAGAAATACGCAGCGGGCCCGGCCAACTCCCGCATCTCCAACCATAACATATCTACCCCACCTCGAGGCGAACGCTACATGTATCCGCTCACCTGAACGGCGCGTCGCTTCCGACATGTGGGGCTCAAGAGGAGAATCTTTCGGCCTGCGGAAGTGGGATTTCGAACTGCGTCTCCCCCTACGTAAGGGGTGCGAAATCCTTCATCCCCAGGCCGAAAGTTTTTTCCTCTTGGACTAAAAATATGAGAGCATCCATGGATCCAATTGGATCCCTTTTCGGGTGTGGGAGAGTCTCGTGGGTCCTATTTCTGTGCTGCGCGGACCCAATTTCCTGTGTGTGTAAAAACGATGGATGCATTTATTTCCCGGGAACAACTACATAATTATAATTAACATCCGGGACCCAGGGGAAATCGAATCCGCGGAGCACCGCACGTGAAGCATCATGCTATCCACGGAGCTGTGGATATGCAGACCATTGCTCTGATTCTACGGGGGGGGTCTTCCCAGGATGAAGAAGGGAAGGATGAGGGAAGAGGCGAGAAGAGGTGGGGGGATAACAGAGGGGACGCAGGGGGGGAGAGAGGAGAAATACGCAGCGGGCCCGGCCAACTCCCGCATCTCCAACCATAACATATCTACCCCACCTCGAGGCGAACGCTACATGTATCCGCTCACCTGAACGGCGCGTCGCTTCCGACATGTGGGGCTCAAGAGGAGAATCTTTCGGCCTGCGGAAGTGGGATTTCGAACTGCGTCTCCCCCTACGTAAGGGGTGCGAAATCCTTCATCCCCAGGCCGAACGTTTTTTCCTCTTGGACTAAAAATATGAGAGCATCCATGGATCCAATTGGATCCCTTTTCGGGTGTGGGAGAGTCTCGTGGATCCTATTTCTGTGCTGCGCGGATCCAACTTCCCGTGTGTGAAAAAAAAACGATGGATCCATTTATTTCCCGGGAACAACTACATCATGGCGGCCCTCGGCCGCCGCGCGCAGGGCGTCGCAGGTGGCGGGGGCAGGCGCGGCGCGGAAACGGTGGATGTGGGGCGCCCCTGGCGCTGGGTTGGCGGCTCCCATGGCGCCGCCGATGCTCGGCAGCCAGGCCGCGATGTCGGCGCCAGGGGCCCCCGCCGCGAACAGTTGCTCCTCGTAGCAGTCGCCGTCGGGGGTCAGGATCGTGAGGTCGGTCCGATGTGGCGACGCGATCTGGCTCAGGGATGTCGTAGCGTTCGAGGATGAAGTCGCCCGGCGAGATCCCCAGGCTGGCCAGGTACTCGGCGACGCGCGCCGCCATCGCTGCTGGAAGCCGAGCCGGCGAGAGCGGATCTCACGCGCCTGCTTGGTACCGATGTCCCCCAGGGGCGCGATCGGGGTCGCGAGCGCGCCCGAAGCGGGCGGCGGGTCCACGGCCTGTGGCGCGCCCGCGCCGCTGTGCCGCAGCGTCAGCAGGGCGCAACAGGCGCCGGCCGCGGCCGACGCCACCGCCGGAGCGAGAGTGCCCGGCAGCGTGAGCCCAGTCACCGTGCTCTCCGAGCTGTGGCCGCCCGGGCAGGTGATGCGCGGCTCGCGCGAGCGCGCGCAGGGGGGGCGCTTCGCGCCCGCCGCGGAGGAGCGCGCTGTGACACCAGCGCCTGCGGCCTGGCCCGCGCCCCGCAGTAGCTCCCACACCGCTGCGTGGAGCACCTCCATGCGCGAGCCCGCGGGGCCCAGAGCTTGAGCAGCAACGGTTGCACACAGATGTTGACGCAATGCGTGCTCACAACACCGCTTCGCGGCAACCGCGCGGCCGCTCCAGCTCTGCATCTCTGCAAAACGATATGCAATCTCCCATAATTAACATCCGGGACCCAGGGGAAATCGGATCCGCGGAGCACCGCACGTGAAGCATCACGCTATCCACGGAGCTGTGGATATGCAGACCAATGCTCTGATTCTACGGGGGGGGGGGGTCTTCCCAGGATGAAGACGGGAAGGATGAGGGAAGAGGCGAGAAGAGGTGGGGGGAGAACAGAGGGGACGCAGGGGGTGAGAGAGGAGAAATACGCAGCGGGCCCGGCCAACTCCCGCATCTCCAACCATAACATATCTACCCCGCCTCGAGGCGAACGCTACATGTATCCGCTCACCTGAACGGCGCGTCGCTTCCGACATGTGGGGCTCAAGAGGAAAATCTTTCGGCCTGCGGAAGAGGGATTTCGCACTGCGTCTCCCCCTTACGTAAGGGGTGCGAAATTGGGATTTCGAGCTGCGTCTCCCCCTACGTAAGGGGTGCGAAATCCTTCAGTGGGATTTCGAACTGCGTCTCCCCCTACGTAAGGGGTGCGAAATTGGGATTTCGAACTGCGTCTCCCCCTACGTAAGGGGTGCGAAATCCTTCATCCCCGGGCCGAATTTTTTCCTCTTGGACTAAAATATGAGAGCATCCATGGATCCAATTGGATCAATTTTCGGGTGTGGGAGAGTCTCGTGGATCCTATTTCTGTGCTGCACGGATCAAATTTCCCTGTGCGAAAAAAACGATGGTTCCATTTATTTCCCGGGAGCAACTACATAATTTGCAGCTACTGCAATGCTCGGGAGGCGGCCAGCCTGCATATAGGATATACAGTGTTTTGTGTCAATGCTCGAAAGGCGGAGGCTGCCCAACAGACGCGGTGGCGGCTCGGGAGGCGCATGCAGCCTGTAGATCGGCATGCCGAGAATGACATGCACCTCCAGAGATGAGGGCTGGGAAAGAGAAGCGACAGAAACGGGCGGAAGAGCTTGAGCAGCAACGGTTGCACACAGATGTTGACGCAATACGTGCTCACAACACCGCTTCGCGGCAACCGTGCGGCCGCTCCAGCTCTGCATCTCTGCAAAATGGTATGAGATCTCCCAGCAGCTACTGCAATGCTCGGGCGGCGGCCAGCCTGCATATAGGATATACAGTGTTTTATGTCAATGCTCGAAAGGCGGAGGCTGCCCAACAGACGCGGTGGCGGCTCGGGAGGCGCATGCAGCCTGTAGATCGGCATGCCGAGAATGACAGACACCTCCCGAACCCCGTGGGTCGGACTGGCCGTGAGGCCGAAAGCCCCGCAGGGATCGCAAACAACGCACATCAAATTCCAAGCGGATGACTCAACCTGACGTCGGGGCGCGCTTCGGCGGAGGCCAGCAACGCAGAGACAATAACTATGGTGAAACACTTCGGATACTCGGCGGCGATGGATGTCCACATGCGCTCCCCCCTCGGGTGGCGTCGGAGAGGACAATGAGGTATTTACTGGGCTCAGAGCAGAAGCCGCCGCGACCACAGCGCTCTCTGCAGAGCGTCGAGGCCGGCGACGTGCCAGCCTGCGGTGTGCGTGGCTTTCCGCCACCTGGCGCCAAACTGGAACAAGTGGCCAGCGGGCGACGCGCGCGAAACACCAGACCTGAGGCGCGCCAGGCGGGGGGCGGCTCACATGATTGAGGGCTGTGGGTTCACTAGCAAGTTGGGCACGCCTGGAGACTCACAAAGCGACATGATGCGGCAACTAAAGTTGAACGTGTTACTACACAGCTGTAGCCGCGCCTGCTGCGCGGCTGTGAGGACAGGGGCGCCCGCGGGGGACTCAGTCAATCAAACGGGGAGGCGGCTCGCACGTGACCAGGTAGTGCGAGGAGTGCCGAGGAAGAAGCCCGTGATGATGCCGGCGTTCAGCCTCCCCGCTGCCATGAGCACGAAGCGCCGGCCGAGATGGATCCCGCCGGCACCGTTGGCGAGGTCCAGCGCGGCACAGCCGTGCCCGAGCGCCCTGAGTTCGGCCGGCGCGCGGCCGCTGTCGGCGAAGAGCTCCAGGAAGGCCTGGCGCCGCCGCCGCGTGGCGAGGCGCCGCTGAGCTGTGATCAAGCCGCGGAGACGGCGCTCCACGCGCGCCGGGGAGGCAACGCACGCTGGCGCAGCCTGGGCACGGCCGAGGCGGCCAGCCGGGCGGGCACCCTGCGCGCCGCCGCGGGCCCCGCCACCGTCTGGAGCGGCTCCGCGTTGAAGCTGTGCTCGAGGGCCCGCGCGGAGTGCTCCTCCACTACCGTCTCGAGGTGAAGGGCCCAGTGCAGGACCTGCGCCAGCTTGGCCAGGAGGTGCGTCTCCGTGGCGTACCTCTTCATGCTCGGCGGCGCCGCCCACTGCCCATGGCGCTGGGTGCCCTCGAGGGGGCGCTGCAGCGCCTGGGTGTCGTGCGACGCGCCCCAGTGCCTCAGAGAGTGCGGGGTCGGGCTGAGCGGGCCCTGCGCGCGGAGGTCGGGGCGCCGGCTGGACACCGCCCAGCCCGGCATCACGGCAAGGGCCCAGAGCGACTGCGTGGCGACGGTCAACGCCGTCAGCGCGGCAGAGACCGGCCGCACGGGTGGGCCCAGGTCGAAATGCATCGACGCGCCCCGCCGGTTCGGCTCGCCCGGCATGAGCCTCCGGGCCCCCAGCAAGCCCGGCGTGAAGCGGGCCGGCGCAGCTGAGAACGGGGCGCCCTTGCGGGGGGGCCCGGCGTTGAGGAGCACGTGGTTCCAGCATGCCGCGGTCGCCCCGTCGGGCCCCGCCGTCGAGCTCCAGCCCAGGCGGAAGGCCGGGCAGAAGGCCAGGAAGCCGCGGAGGAGCGCGAGGTGCCCCGCCTGCATCGCCGGGCGGACGGCCGCCAGCGCCAGGAAGCTCAGCGCGCCGCCGGGCGCGGAGCTCCCGACCAGCGATGTGGCCAGCGACATAGCGCCACCGCACGCTGAGGCGTCCGACCCGAGACGCCTCAGAGGGCGGCGCCCGGCGGCGGCACCCGCCCAGCCCGATCTCGCCGGCGCCCAAGCCCGTGACGTTGCTGCTCCAGGGGGCCGACAGGTCGCATTTCAGCAGCGGCAGGAAACGCCGTGCCCGCCACAGCTCCCGCTAGCCCACGGGCCAGAGCTCCTGGATGGCAACGTCGCCCACCTCGACGAAGGCGTATAGGCCGAGTTGAGGAGGGCCAGGGCGGCTCGCCGAACGAGGGGCGTCCACGTGATGTGCCCCAGGAGGGTCCGAGTGGGGTGGCCCGATACCTTCTTGCGGCGCAGGACCTCCTCGATGGCATACCGCGCGCGCCAACAGTTCCGCCCCTTGACGGAGAGCCGCCGCCCGGCGCGCAACTCCAAGCCGAGGAAGGTGCAGTCGCCGGCCGCGCGCTCGGCGTCGTGGACGTGGATCCCGACGCCCTGGAGCAGCTTAGAGACCCGGCCGACCACAGCGTCGACGTAGGTGGCGTACGTTCCGACGGCAAGGCAGTTGTCCACGTGCCCCGCGCACCCGAAGTCCGTCGGCTGAGAGAGCGACACCGCCGGCCGCCCGCCCTCTATGGGCACGGAGCTGGGCACCCAGGCACGGTCGATCGCGGCCCTCAGCACGCGCGGGCACAGGTGCAGGAGCCACGAGGAGCCCATCGGCATGACGGCGATGCAGCCCTGCACCGCTCCATCAGGAAGGACGGGAACGCCGGCGGCTCGATGGCATGAGCTGCCGATCGGCGGGGGCCGAAAGTAGTGCTCCAGGCCAGGGGGCATCCGCAACTGGTAGAAGGCGTTGATGGTGTCGCCGGCGGCAACCCAGCGCCGGTCGCCCTCCCCCTCGAGGTCTGAGAACGCAGAGGTGATGGGGGGCCGCGTGGACAGGGCGTCTGCGAAGCAGCAGGTCGCCGTCCGAGTGTCGAATGTACGCCGAAGTGATCCGTCCTTCCTGGCCACGAAACAAGCCCCCAAACACTGCGCGGAGGGGTCGTGGGCCACGAACGTCAGCATATCGCGCCGCCAGAGCTGCGGCAAAAAGTCGGAGTAGAGAGAAGGCGAGCCAGTCAAAGTCGGGTCCAAGCGCGGTCCACGGGGCAGGCCTCCCGAAGAAGTGATTCAGCATCTGCAGCGGGTCGTAGCATGTTCAAGCGTCAGTCCTCGAGCCACGAATTGTCCGACGTGCTACGCAGGCCCTGCAGAGGCATGGCGTGCTCTCCAGCGATCGGCCAAGAGACAGAGTCCCTCGCATAAGGGCGAGTGGAGCCGCCAGATTCGTACAGCGGTGATCCTGCGAGGAGCTCACCATGAGCCCCCTCGCGCAGCCGGTGCTCCTCGGACGGCTTGAACGGTCGTCGGCAGCACCCGGCCGCATGCTCCAAGGCGCTCCGCCGGGCCGATGTGCATGGGCCCGGCGGCGAGACGCCAGGGGAAGAAATCGAATTCATGACGGCGATGGCGTCTTTGGCCCAAGCGGCGCCGTGGGCATGCTCCTGACGCCGTCGCAAGGCCCTCCAAGGCCGGCCGTGTCCAGGTCCCGCGGGTGCAACTGGAAGAGCTGGCAGAGGGGGCGGGTCACGCCGGCGACCATCCGACGGCGAGCTGCCACAAAACTGCGTGGACGGAAGGCGGGGGGCACCAGGGTCCACTGGCGGGCGAGACGGCGCGGCCGCTGGCTGCCCAGGTCCAACGGCCGACAAGGGGTCACCCGTCATCATCATCATGATGGCCCTTCTTGTTGCCCTTCTTCCCCTTGGTCGCAAGCGCGCGCTCCTCGCGCGCCTTCCTACGCTCCTTGGCCACCGCCCACTCCTTCGTGAGCTCCTCCTTCAGGTGCTCCGCCAACTGCGGCGAGACGCAACTGTTCCCGCGGGCCAGGTCGCAGCCCAGGATCAGGTGTGTGTCAAGGTTGTCGTCTTTCGTCTCTGGCGCCAGCCGCTCGCGGTACCGCTCCTCGTGGAGCTGCACGATGCGTGCAAGCAGCTCGCCCGACGCCAGGCCCACCACGTTCAGCTGGTCGTAGATCGTCATGAACTCGATCAGCCTGCACGCGTGCTCGTGCTCGGCGACGCCGTACTCCGAGGCGTGCAGCCGGGCCTCGGTGCGCCATCGTGCATGGCGCCCGAGCGGTGTCCCGCCGTTGGTCTCCATGAAGCGGAGGACCCGCCTGCACGTCCGCGGGCCCTTCACGGGCCAGTCTGGCCACGGGTGCTCCACCATGGCCAGCGCTGCCTCTCGAAACGCCCGATGTCGCTGCCCCAGCACGTCGTAGCTCACCGCGAGGACGCGCACGTCGGCAGCGGCGGCTGGCACGGCTGGCGCGGCGGCAGCGCCGACCCCAGCCCCCGGCACTGCAGCGGGGGCGGCCGGAGGGGGGCCTCCCGCAGCTCCCAGGCCCGCGGCTGCCGCTGCCGCCAGCAACGGCGGCGCGGGTGGGGCGGCGCCTGCCGCCGGGGGGCCACCGAACGCGGCAGCGAGCCCGACGAGCCCGCCGACGCCAGCCCCTGGCGCCGCGGGGGCGGCGGCCGCCATCGGCGCCGCGGGCGCCGGTGCCGCCGCGACCACCGCCGGGGCCACTGGAGGCGCCACCAGCGCGCCGCCCACGGCAAGCGCAGCGCCCGCGGCCGCTCCGGCGTCAAGCCTGGCATCCAGAGCCACTCCGGGCGCGACGGCTGGCGGGGCCGCAGGGGGGGCCCCAGCGGCCGCGCCCGCGGCGGGAGCTCCGGCGTCGGCCGCGCCCGCACCCCCGCCGAGAGCCCCCACGCCAGCTCGGCCGGCTAGTTTGGGCACCGCGCGCGGCCCTGGCGGGAGCCCGAGGCGGCCCTCGGCCGCCGTGCGCAGGGCGTCGCGGGTGGCGGGAGCAGGCACGGCGCGGAAGCGGTGGATGTGGGACGCCCCTGTCGCTGGGTTGCCGGCTCCCATGGCACCACCGATGCTCGGCAGCCAGGCCGCGATGTCGGCCCCAGGGGTCCCCGCCGCGAACAGATGCTCCTCGTAGCAGTCGCCGTCGGGGGTCAGGATCGTGAGGTCGGTCCGATGTGGCGACGCGATCAGCACCATGCGCTCGTGCCAGACCTCTGGCCCAGGGATGTCGTAGCGTTCGAGGATGAAGTCGCCCGGCGAGATCCCCAGGCTGGCCAGGTACTCGGCGACGTGCGCCGCCATCACTGCTGGAAGCCGAACCGGCGAGAGCGGATCTCACGCGCCTGCTTGGTACCGATGTCCTCCACGGACGCGATCGGGGTCACGAACACGCCCGAAGCGGGTGGCGGGTCCACGGCCTGTGGCGCGCCCGCGCCGCTGTGCCGCAGCGTCAGCAGGACGCAACAGGCGCCAGCCACGGCCGACACCACCGCCAGAGCGAGAGTGCCCGGCAGCGTGAGCCCAGTCACCGTGCTCTCCGAGCTGTGGCCGCCCGGGCAGGTGATGCGCGGTTCGCACGAGCACGCGCAGGGGGGGCACTTCACGCCCGCCGCGGAGGAATACGCTATGACACCAGCGCCTGCAGCCTGGCCGGCACCCCGCAGCAGCTCCCACACCGCTGTGTGGAGCACCTCCATGCGCGAGCCCGCGGGGCCCAGAGCTTGAGCAGCAACGGTTGCACACAGATGTTGACGCAATACGTGCTCACAACACCGCTTCGCGGCAACCGTGCGGTCGCTCCAGCTCTGCATCTCTGCAAAATGATATGAAACCTCCCATAGTTAACATCCGGGACCCAGGGGAAATCTGATCCGCGGAGCACCGCACGTGAAGCATCATGCTATCCACGGAGCTGTGGATATGCAGACCATGCTATGATTCTACGGGGGGGGTCTTCCCAGGATGAAGAAGGGAAGGATGAGGGAAGAGGCAAGAGGAGGTAGGGGGAAAACAGAGGGGACGCAAGGGGGGAGAGAGGAGAAATACGCAGCGGGCCCGGCCAACTCCCGCATCTCCAACCATAACATATCTACCCCACCTCGAAGAGAGCGCTACATGTATCCGCTCACCTGAACGGCGCGTCGCTTCCGACATGTGGGGCTCAAGAGGAAAATCTTTCGGCCTGCGGAAGTGGGATTTCGAACTGCGTCTCCCCCTACGTAAGGGGTGCGAAATTGGGATTTCGAACTGCGTCTCCCCCTACGTAAGGGGTGCGAAATCCTTCATCCCCAGGCCGGAAGTTTTTTCCTCTTGGACTAAAAATATGAGAGCATCCATGGATCCAATTGGATCCCTTTTCGGGTGTGGGAGAGTCTCGTGGATCCTATTTCTGTGCTGCGCGGATCCAATTTCCTGTGTGGAAAAACGATGGATCCATTTATTTCCCGGGAACAACCACATAATTATAATTAACATCCGGGGCCCAGGGGAAATCGGATCCGCGGAGCACCGCACGTGAAGCATCATGCTATCCACGGAGCTGTGGATATGCAGACCAATGCTATGATTATACGGGGGGGGGGTCTTCCCAGGATGAAGAGGGGAAGGATGAGGGAAGAGGCAAGAGGAGGTGGGGGGAGAACAGAGGGGACGCAGGGGGGGAGAGAGGAGAAATACACAGCGGGCCCGGCCAACTCCCGCATCTCCAACCATAACATATCTACCCCACCTCGAAGAGAACGCTACATGTATCCGCTCACCTGAACGGCGCGTCGCTTCCGACATGTGGGGCTCAAGAGGAAAATCTTTCGGCCTGCGGAAGTAGTAATGGAATCGTGCGTGGGACCGAGTGCGGATGAGATAGGAACTGTATGGGACCCAACAGGAGTGGTGCTGGAATTATACTTGCCTGGTAGGACCTGTATAGTGTTACAATGGGCAGAATATAAGACCTATCATGGCTGGTACAAGGGGGTGTAGGAAAGGTGTAAGGCCCAGCACAAACGGTATAGAAACGGTACGGACCCTAGTAGGGATGCGATAGGAACGGCATGAGACACAATAGGGGTGGGTAAAACATCGTATGGGACTCGGCACGGATGGCATATGCATATGAATATGTTGGGATCTCGTGGGGCAGTATGGACACTGAGTCGGACAAAGGAAAGGGTGGTAGCAGACACGCACGGAATGGTGTGGGACATCGTGTGGAATCTATGCCATTTAGCAAGACAAAAGGGACCTACCAAGACTGGTATTAGTACGGTGTGGGACCTCATGGAGCCACGTTGTGTTGTGTCGGTGCGTTGTTCCCTCCCCCTCCCCCTCTGGGGCGCTAGCCCAGCTTCTATCATCATCATCATCATCATCATCATCATCATCACCATCTCCATCATCATCATCATCATCATCATCATCATCATCATCATCATCATCATCATCATCATCATCATCATCATCATCATCATCATCATCATCATCATCATCATCATCATCATCATTATCATCATCATCATCTTCATCTTCAACAGAAAGCTGTGACAGGGCATTTCGTGCAGGTTTCGCTGCCAAGACACGTCCTCGCCGAAGAAACCTCGTGCATTAGAGCAGGCAACCTGAGGAGGTGCATGAAGGATGGCGAGGATGAGGAGGAGAGCAAAGAGGAGGACGGAAGAGGATCAGAGCGATATCCAATGGAGTCGTGGAAAGTCGCTGGGCACTCACTATTTTTCGAGCTCCTGCGACGCTCAAACCAAAGTGTTTCACTGCGCGTCCGGACCTTGCGGATGAACCGGGAGCGTCCTACACGGTTCTAACACCATGCCTCCGGCATGCAGTGGTCTGCCACAGTGGTCTGCTATCAAGTCTTGAATGATCCTTAACATGTCGAATGCGCATAGATTATGCAGAGTCACGGGGCCCTGATTTCAATGCACTCTCTGCCGTTTCCGGGGGCTCCCGCCGCCCCCTTGGGCCCTGGATGTCCCCGCGTGGTGGCGCGCTTCGAGGCCCCGAAACGTGGCTGGGAACCCCACGTGACAGGTGGACTGCTCGATGGGCCTTTCTTGGGGCCGTCTTGGGGTGTCCTTTGAACCGTCGTGGAGGGGGAGGAGGAGGAGGAGGAGGAGGAGGAGGAGGAGGAGGAGGGGGAGAAGGAGGAGGAGGAGGAGCCAGGAGGAGGAGGAGGAGGAGGAGCCAGGAGGAGCAGGAGGAGGAGGAGGAGGAGGAGGAGCGGGCCTGGGGGCTAGCCCAGCAAACCCAAATCTTCCAAGACCGCGGGGCCCCGTATGGTCTGCCACACTCCAGGCGTCCAAGATGGCCCAAGGGGCGGCCAGGACTCCCCCAAAGGCAACCCCAGAAGCTCCCACGGCGGGACCGAGAGGCCCACAAGACGGCCCCAGGAGAAGCCTCCCAAATCGCGCCGCGAACTCCTCCTCCTCCTCCTCCTCCTCCTCCTCCTCCTCCTCCTCCTCCTCCAACACTGCCCCCAAGACCCCCGACAAGCCCCCAGGAGGCCACCCCGGGCGCCCAAAGGGAGCCCTGAGAGGCTCACACCCTATACGCCTGCAGCTTTCCATCACACTCCCGCGCCCACAGCCCAAGCACGGCGGCGTGATGTGCCGCTGGCTCCAGGTACCTACACGATCGCTCCGACAAGCCTAACGCTCACCCTATATCCAAACATAAGCTTCCGAGCTCTTCGCGAATGCCACCGATTACAAACCTCTGTTGTGCTCGCCCGCCCAGGAGGAACTGAGAGACTTGGGCTGCAAACGACTCACAGGCAGTAGTGCGAAGTGAACTGCGTTCACTTACGCAGCTGGTTCTCCGATGGGGTAGCGAGCTGGCATGTCGTTCGTCTGGGGCCCTTCTGGCCGCAGCGACGTTCTGGATACAACAACTAAACAGAGACTACAACAGTGCACCTCGTTGGTGATACAAAAAAGTCGCAGCAGAGAGCTATGCCTCCGTGTGCTGCTCGCTCTCTGCCATCCTGCCATATCACAAGCAGATGGACCACTCTTGGTGTCGGCTTCTCTTGAAATTGTACAACTCTCCCGTTTGCACATGCGTCCAGTGTGCGCATCTACAACAAATCCGCCGACCCAATGGCGTGTCTGAGAGGCCCTTCGACGCCAGGCCAGCCCAATTCAAACTGAAGTAGGCCAGCCTCCTTTGAATCGTCGTCGTCGTAAGGGAAATCGAACAAACAAGGGGGATCGAACAATGACGTTCAAATTACCTAGCAGCGAAGACTGATAGGTTCTAGTGGGCTCAAAAGAAAATATCTTGACTTCCCAAAGGGGTCTGGGCGGATGCCGGGGAGAATCCGGGGACTCCCCGGGACTCCCCAAGGGGGTCTGGGCGGGTGCCGGGGGGATCCGGGGACTCCCCAGAACACCATTCCCAGGCCACATTTTGAATGCCCGGAACAAGCTGTAGGCCACTTCGTGTTCTTCGTGCTCCCAGAACACCACTCCCAGGCCACATTTTGAATGCCCGGAGCCAACTGTAGGCCACTTCGTGTTCTTCGTCTTCCCAGAACACCTTTCCCAAGCCACATTTTGAATGCCCGGAGCCAACTGTAGGCCACTTCGTGTTCTGCGTCTTCCCAGAACACCATTTCCAGACCACATTTTGAATACCTGGAGCCAACCGTAGGCCACTTCGTGTTCTTCGTGTTCCCAAAACACCATTCCTGTACCATATTTTGATTGCCCCGAGCCAGCTGTGGGCCATTTCGTGATCTTCGTGTTCCCAGAACACCAATCCTGTGCCATGCCTGAGCTGAGGCAGGCTGAGGCCGAGGCAGGCTGAGGCCGAGGCAGGCTGAGGCTGAGGCTGAGGCACGCCGAAGCAGGCTGAGGCTGAGGCTGAGGCAGGCTGAGGCTGAGGCAGGCTGAGGCTGAGGCTGACACAGGCTGAGGCCGAGGCAGGCTGAGGCTGAGGCTGAGGCAGGCTGAGGCTGAGGCAGGCTGAGACTGAGGCTGAGGCAGGCTGAGGCTGAGGCTGAGGCTGATGCAGGCTGAGGCTGACAGCTGAGGCAGGCTGAGGCTGAGGCAGGCTGAGGCTGAGGCTGAGGCTGAGGCTGAGGCTGAGGCTGAGGCAGGCTGAGGCTGAGGCTGAGGCTGAGGCTGAGGGCTGAGGCGAGGCAGGCTGAGGCTGAGGCTGAGGCTGAGGCTGAGGCTGAGGCAGGCTGAGGCTGAGGCAGGCTGAGGCTGAGGCTGAGGCAGGCTGAGGCTGAGGCAGGCTGAGGCTGAGGCCGAGGCTGAGGCTGAGGCTGAGGCTGATGCTGAGGCAGGCTGAGGCTGAGGGCTGAGGCTGAGGCTGAGGCTGAGGCTGAGGCTGAGGCAGAGGCTGAGGCTGAGGCCGAGGCAGGCTCAGGCCGAGACAGGCTGAGGCTGAGACTGAGGCTGAGGCTGAGGATGAGGCCGAGGCAGGCAGAAGCTGAGACAAGGTGAGGCTGAATGGGGGGGGGAGGAAGGGGGGGGGAGGAGGGGAGGCTGAGGCAAGCTGCGGCTGAGGCAGGCTGAGGCTGAGGCAAGCTGAGGCTGAGGCTGAGGCCGAGGCAGGCTGAGGCTGAGGCAGGCTGAGGCTGAGACTGACGCAGGCTGAGGCCGAGGCAGGCTGAGGCTGAGGCTGAGGCAGGCTGAGGCTGAGGCCGAGGCAGGCTGAGGCCGAGGCTGAGGCATCCGTA